CACACACACACACACAGTCCATCCCCCAAAGAGGGCTCGGGAAGAGACGAAAGGATTCCCGTCCGCCCTGACAGCGGGACCCCCACACGCCCCCTACCTGTCTGTGACCCGCCCTGAGCCCGCTTTTGTGGGGAGGGCGGGCTATAAATCGAAATAAATAAAGGCACACCGAACGTGGAGGTTTGAAATCGCGCCCACCCCGCAACACCCCCACCCTCTCCCTGCTGCTTAACCGAATTGCGCGGGGCTGCAATAACACAAGGAAGCCCCCGCCTACCGCACCCCACCTAGGGAACGGGGTCAATGTTCGGCCGGCCTCCTCGTGTCTCTCTCCCTCTGCCCCCATGAGGCGTTGCAGCCGCTTTCACCGCCAAGCTGGCGGGGGGCGTGACCTACCACGGCCCCGCGGAACGCGCCAGCTCCGTTCGTCTCCTCACTACCGAACGGCGTGAATAAACAGCGGGGGAGAGAGGCTGGGCCATGATGACGCGCCCCCGCCTCGTCGGCCCGGCCTAAGGCGACCGCCTTCCCCTTTCGCTCCTTCCTTCCTTCCTGCCGCCGGGAAGGCAGCCATTGCGGAGCTCCCTTACGGTCCTCCTTCATCCCACGCGCCAGCCTAGACCGGGGAAAGAAGCCCTTTGCGGTAGTTCTAGCTCCCGTCGCCGTGACATTTTTTTATCCCGGCCTTCCTCCGAGAAGCACGGCTGCCGTCTCACGCGCGCGTGCCTGGGAGTAAGCCATCTTGAATAAATCAGATACGGGCTGGTGGGGTTCCCTTTTTCCGCCTCTTCCACTGTGTTTTCGTAACAACCCCCGAGGTGGGTTAAGCTGCACATCACCCGGCGAGAGTAATGGGTGAGGGTTTGGAACGTTGCCCCGTCAAAATCCAGCCAGCCGTCTTCGCGCTGTATCATAGGTGTGCCGACTTTAAAAATCAGGGACAAGGGCCGTAAGTATGTCGGTCATTCCTAGACGGGTGCAAATATAGTCCGTTTTTAGCACAATTATATTATGGGTTATTCACATGGTATACAACGTTCCAAGATAGCCAAACGCATTAATCGCAAGGCAGTGGGCAAATTATTTTGAGCAGGTGCCCAAAGCTGCACTAGTTTAAAAAAAATTGCTTGCACCTGCATATCTGAAAAAGGAGCCTCGGCCGATACCTAAAGGTGTAACACCTGCTGTCCTATTCACACGGAGGTATAAATTTGAACACCAAGTCCTCACATGGGGGGGAAATATTAAATTTAAAAGAATGGTGAAATTACATACTAGTAGTCATACCCAGAAAAATTATAGGCCACTATGTAGGTGTATTCATGCTCTTAAATAACAGTAGTTTGTCAAGCAGAGTTACTTCAATAAACGTTAAGTTGGCACTACAAACAACTACAGAAAATAACTATTTTACTACTGGCCAAACGTTGATTGGGATACATTTGCTTCTATTTTTCAAAGGCCACTTTTGGTGGTTTAGCATACTTCCATTTATGGGGGGAGGTAGTTGTGAATATCCTGCTTTGGGCAGGGAGCTGGACTAGATAACCCATAAAGTCCCATCCAGCGCTTATGTTTCTAGAAACCGAACCCACAGTGTGCACTTCTATGTATACAGACAGGATAATATGCCTCAAGCCTGCACATTTCAAATGATAGGGTTAAACAGCAACAGGTGTTTTGCCATGAACCCAAAAGCATGGGTGGATGCTTCATAACAAAATGATGTCTGAAGTCTCAAGTCTCTCTTATTCTGTGACTTGTTTTTCAACAGCTATTCTATTCAATGCATTGGAATATCTAAAGCAGCTGAACACACACACCCATATAATGCTTTGGATAGTGGCCAGCCATTGTAATTCCACAAGATTTTAGGCAGATTTAAGTGCACTGGGGAAACCCCAAAAGTTTTGCAAGATTAGGCTAAGGGTTTTTTTGGGGGGAGGGATTTTTTTAAAAAAGCCTCCAATTAAAAGTACAATATACAACCATAGCCCATTCCAAGTCATGAGTACCTCAAATACTATGCAATAGTGACACGGAGGCATTGGTAAGCAACTCTTCTTCAAGCACCACTTTGAGAAGGTGATGGAGTGGGGCCAGCCAGAGCCCCACTTCCCAGAATGGGGGTTGCCAACACTTCTGTTTATCAGTCCTTTCTCATGGGTCTCTTGCATAAAAGCTGGCAACTAGGACACCAAGTGGTACTCCTTGGGCCAGATTTTACCCACCTGCTGCAAAAGAGCTTTGGCCCCAGAAATGGATTCACCTGGCCTTATCTGCCTTTGATCCACACTGTAGTCAGCACATACATGCACTTTTATGCATTTCCTGTGTAGAAATATCTGGCATTGGACGCATCCCCTATTTCAGCTGTGAGCTATAGCCCAAGGCACTCGAGAAACTAGTTGGACTTGGGGCAAGGCTTAAAGCATGCATTTGTATTAACTACTACTACCCTGGCAAGTACAGTATCCTAACATTTCATAAACCCAGGCCATTTGAATTCAGATACAAGAAAAAGACTGGGGCTACACACAACTTCAGCTGCCCTGACCTGACCTGGATGGGCCAGGCTAGCCCGATCCCGTCAGATCTCAGAAGCTAAACAGGGTCAGCCCTGGTTAGTACTTGGGTGGGAAACCACCAAGGAATACCAGGGCCATTACACAGAGCCAGGCGATGACAAAACACATCTGAATGTCTCTTGCCTTGAAAACTCTACGGGGTTGCAATAAGTCTACTGCAACTTGATGGCAAAACACAACTGGAACATCTGGTTTAAAACAAAGCTGCCAATACGTGCCCTGGAAGACAAATGAACACCATTCCATTCCTACAACTCTATGATACATTTTCTGTCTTTAGAAAATTGTAACACTCAGACTTACAGCCTGGTCTGCTCCCCACCCCCAAGCTTTGGGCAAGAACATATAGTATATTAAATGATTCACTCCTATCCCTGACCACAGAAAATCTGGTCTGAATAAAAACATGCCACATGCAGAAGGCAATATGAGCTTTGGAAGGTGTCCATAAAAAGAGAATTACAAATCTGAAGGTCAGTGACCAAGGGGAGTACTTCTCCATCTACTTTAATTATTACAGTAGCACATGGGACAGAGGCGAAACCCTGGGCAATGACAGCTTACCCACACAACCTGAATACGCCAATAAGGGCTGTACCCTTTTTAGTTGTCAAGGGAGCAGCAAGAGTAACTGCTCATTTTTAGGGGCTGCTCACTGAGGCTTGCAAACACACTCTGCCACTGCCTGTGTCATCTTAGGCCAATGTGCTAGCATCAGGAGATATAATAGATTAGTGGTGAGAAGAGGTTGGGACAATGGCATGTGAAGACACAGAAGCTGAGTTGCTCAGCAGTAGCAAATGGGGTCTCCAAATACTGACCATTTTCACACCAACTAAGAGTAAGAAGGCAGCCAATCCATTCCAATCCTTTACTTGAAAACAGCTTCCATGCAGAGTTGTTCAGATTAACTGCTGATGTCTGAGCTAGCTCCCCGGCCTTCTCCCAGCCACAGGGAGAGGAAAAGCTTTCGCTACAGGACAGTTATTTCGACCAACAATGTGTTCTCACCTGAACATTACAGTAAATGAGTCCTATATAAGAGAACTGCTAACAAAAAAACTGTACACAAGTTTACAAACATATTAACATATAAATAACGGGAAGCTTCCTGCCAGGAGAACTTCCCCAGTAGTCTTTTTTGCTTGAGACTAACACTGGAAGGGGAAAGCCAGTCCCTTTCCTCAAGCATCACAGGGGTTGGTTTGTAAAAATTTTTCTGTTGTCAGTGCCTCTGGCTTCAAGTGAGCAGTCTGTGCAAAGCAGACACCTCCCCTTGCCCTCTAGGAAGGTGCCCGTGGGGCTAAGGCCTCGGCTAGCCAGTCATCGCTCTGGTCCAAGCTCCTGCTGGAAGACTCGTTTCTTCTCTCGACAGTGCTTCTTGTGAGCTGGCCAGTCTTTCTGCTGGCACTGCGAGCCGCAGTACCGTGCAACCTGGCACCTCCCACAGATGTTAAATTCACGTAACTAGAGAGAGGGGCACAAGAAAATAATCAGTATCACTTCCAGGAAGAACCACTCCCAAAGCAGCCAACCAAAAGGTAGAATATAGTCTCCATTTCTCAGATTTGGGAACTCCGCTTACAAAAATTATACTACTTGGCACAGATTCTAAACTATAGCAGGCCTAGGGATCCCATGGATCCTTTGTGTTAAAGCTTGCACTTTACGCTAGCACAGGAAGCCTTCCACTCTGCCAAGCATTTTTCATCAGTTGAAGGTTCTTTCCAACAGAGGTAAGTGCCATAGTTAGCAAAATGGGTCTGTGGGATCCTACCCATGAAGACTACCTGCATTTTTTCCAGTGATGTGGTACATATTTCCGTTCCTGACAGCCTATAGTTATGACACATATAACCTCTTACCTTCCCAGGCTGTCTGTCTGTGAAAGCATTTGAAATTGCATTCAGATAAAAGCATACAGACTCAGCAGCCTTATTTCACAGACGGCAAGAACTAAGCTGCTGCTGTATGGTTGCAGGTCCCGCCCCCCCCGTGAGAAGTAAAACAGGAAGTAGGAAAGCAGGTTTGGGGCCTATTAACAAAACTGTATTTTGACCACACTGAGGGCCAGGAGGAAAGATTATTCACAGGAAAGTCACTTGTATGCAGAACAGAAGCCAACCCTTGCAGAAGACCTGTTCAACTTAAGTTAAATAAGCATGGATAAATTTCTTGCGAGGTAATACAAAGAGTCCATCAGCTGTAGCTAGGAACATTTTTTTCACTTTGGCAAATCACTGCCAAAAAGCAAACAGACAGAATAACAGCGACACTGCCACCCACAACTCGCTTTGGGTTTTTAACACACCTGTTTCTCAATCATCGTGCATGGAGGGTAGTGACATTCATAGTATGTGCACGAGTTCTCCTCTTCTTCCACAACATCCCCATTAGCATTATAATAGCGTGTCACGTTCAGCACAGGAAACTGCTCCTCTATGGGGTCTGTGGGAAGCTGCTGTATCGCCAGCCAGTATAAGCTTTGTTCCCTTCAATAAAAACCAACAAGTTAAGCACTTATTCAGCAAGTGCTTATCACTGTTAGAGACATTAAAAATGCAACACTTTGCAACAAAAAAGGGACAGCTACACAAGTTCTCACTGACACTGAGGACCCAACCCTTTCATTGAATGAGTTCCTCCTCTTCTAAAAGGGATGAGTGGGAAAATTCAAATTTAGTCAAACTCTGGTAGCAAGAGACATCAAACAGACAGGCCTTCCCAACAGAATAGTTACTGTGTTTTGTCTAATCCGTTCTCTGCCTTCCAAACGTTCCATAAATCCCAAATGCTAATGGAGACACACAAATGGCCACATATCAATACAGATTTTTGTCTTCACTGCAAAATAAACCCTCTTGAAAAACACACTTTTAAGGTCTTGATTCAAACAGCTAGCAACTAGCCATATAATCTCTCTCTTTTTGCTTTGTTTGAACACTTATGGGTAAAAATGTGTTCTATATAAAGGATATTTCTGGAATTTTAAAGGATATTTCTGGAATTTTTAAAAGGTCCCCAAATATTGGCTTGCTTTATGAAACAGACAGCACAGCCCTAGAACTTGAGTCCAAGTTATTTCTTTGATCCATCCTCAATACAGGTGGATGGGCTCTTCTTACTTCAGGCACACCCAGTTGCATTCAGACAAGCAGCTGAATGGCATACTCTCTTAACTACTCATCTTAAGCCTGTTAAATGGTGTTTAAACTGAAGTCTTTACAGAAGCTCTAAACTCATACTCTTTTGCCCAGACCTTAAAAGGACCTGGGGAAAAGACTGCTCTAAGCAAAGACACAGTAGCATTGTTACTTCCTCCAGATGCAAAAATGAAAAAAAAAAAACTTGGCCTCGAGGACAGAGGGACTTCTATTGCCATCACTCCCCTCATCTGTAATTCTCACTTGTCCAGGACTTACCTTTGTTTACTAGAAATTTCTTCCGCTTTGGGTCTCCAGCCCCATGGAACCAATCGCAAGTTGTCTAGACGGTTGTCCACTGTCACCGCGTTGAGATGCACCACTTGAAATCCTGGAGCAATACCTCCCCGATGTCTCTCCCTGAAAGTGATGACAAGCAGAGTGTGTAGATGCTTCTGGTTGGCAATTAGTTTAAATGGCAGGCTACAGAAGGCCAAACCCTGGAAACCAGTGGTTTCCCAGTGCCACACTCCCATCCTCCTGCCTGTCTCTTCCCCCCGTCTTGTGTGTGTGTAAAGGTTCAGGGAATGTGAGGAAGCGAGAGAAGGGTGGCATCCAGTCTCAAGATTGCTCAAGATTGCTAGGCAGGTGGGAGACAGAGGTAAGAGGAAGGAGACAGGCAGGAAGGGATGGTACAGGACATATCAACAAAGGCATTATGGTCCAAAGGACGTTTGCGCATTCCCATTCAGATTACACATAGAAGTTTCTTATGTCAGCAGTCAGGACTCATTAGCTCTCAAAGTCTTAAAGAGGAGAAAAGCTAATCAATGGTTTATCACTTTGTGAAGAAAACCAAACAAGGGAAAAGAACACTTAAGTACGTCACAGGTCCTGCTTCCTCCCTCTATACATTATAAACCCCAGCCAGAAGAAACAGGGGTACTTCTTCCCTTTGGAAATCTGTAATGCACGTCCTTTGTACAACAGTACCTACCAGAGAAGCTCATGTAGCAGGCGTCCAGACCCCCTTCCTCGGTTTTTGTCAAATGCATATGCAAATATTTTAGCACCATTTCCATCAGCATCCACCTCCATCCGAGCCTGACCAAAGAGAGAAAGCACAGTGAGACAGGGAGTGGGAGACAGTGGAAAAGGAGCCTAAAAGTATTTGACTGGAAGGAGAACTTTGCCTTAGGAACTGTGCTTCCTTGATCACAGCCTGGCAGCTCGCTAATTATTCTAAACTGACTAACTGGGCACTCAGAACATGCTTCAAGACACCTTCCTTGCAAAACAGCATAAAGATGTGGGGGGGGGGTACATCTTGCCTTAAGGATTACCCATCTGCAAACCACACTGACTAGAAAGGTAATTTTATTCTTGTATCTATTACTTTGATCTCTTGCCTTTTTCAGTTATGTAACTTAAGCCCCTCTATTTTGAAACATGTGTGAGAATTTTGAAATGTTGGGCTATAATGGCACATATGTCTTTTTTGTTGGTTTCGGTACTGTATGTGACAGTTTTATTGTTTTTATTAATACTTTTCGAGCTGATCTTGTATAGAAATAAACTGAACTAAGCCAGCATACACCGTTTCCCCCAGAGGTCACTCACCCAGACATGGGACGGACCCATGTCTGTTTAGCTTCAGCATGTCTGCTGAATTTTATACCCTCCAACCACACTCTAGGACAAAGCACAATGGAAGTTGCCCCCCACCCTGACAACTTTCATGAAAATCTGAGGCTAAGGGGAAAAAAATTAAGCGTAAATAAAAACCCTAATCTGAAAGTGATGAGTTCTGCAACTATTTGACAATTAGACTAATATGTACTAGAAATAACTTTTTTTTAACACCTTTGCAATTATGGTAGTTAGCCACCTCAGGCAGGTCTCTGGAGAGGCAGCATATAAATGTTCCAAATAAATATTCTAACACAGGTCTCCTGATGCTTATATAACTGTACCAAGAGTTTACACAGTAGGCACGGTTTCCTTCCAGGTGCCCATCTCCTCTCAAGATGGGATTCTATCTGTCTCCCCACACCTGCCCTGGTGCAATCATTGGGTACAATCATTGTTCAACCTAGTTAAATGAATCTCTCTTCCAGAACTGTTATTAAAAAGAGATTTACGTTAACCGGGGGGTGGGGGGTGGACTTCTCTTGACAATTAATATAAACAAGAGTCTTTTAAAAATCTGGTCCAGTTGCTAGAAGATTGGGCAGCTCCAGGAGACCTGGATTTCTTTCAACCACTCATCCATAATTAATAGAATGGCCAATACAGATTTAAAGTTATTTGTAATAGCAATCTATACATGTATAGAGACCTATAATTAAAAGCACATTGGATGTGCACAAAAGGCACACTGTCCCTCTGCAGGGAGCTTACAATCTGCACTTCAAGGCTAAGGAAAGAAAGGAGGCCAATAATTTCTGCTATACTATGTAGTGAGGATTGGAAAGGATGGAGAACAATGTGGTAGTGAAGGAGCAAATAAAGTTAACTAAGAGCCATAATCAGAAACCAGCTTTGCAAGAAGCGCATTATAAAAAGCAAATGAGTTGGACCATGTCTTTTCCACCACCAAGTGTCTTCAGCCAAATCCTGTTGCCAGGGATACTGCTAATTTCCATCTCATCTTTTAGGTTCCCACCTAATTCAGTGGGAGGGCGGAAGGGAGAGGCACATGGAACCCCTAAGAAGACTAGATTTTAACTAGAGAGCATCAGGTGCTACTGCTAAATCTACAGTGACTGGAAAGGGGCAACAACATGGCAAAAAAGGCCATAATTACCAACATAACAAGGATAGATGCTTACCTCAAAAGAGTAACTCTCTACGAGCGGAATGTCTTGCTCATCTATCAGCGTGTATTTTGTCTGAAATTAGAAAAATTAAAAGTGAAACACACTGCAGAAACCAAGTTCACCAGCACTTATCCCTACTCTTCTCATTCATTTCACCACAACACTAAACTATTCCAGGGAATGTGATGCTCACCAAAGACCTTGAGTGATGAAGATAAAGGAATAAAAATCCACTTTAAAAGGAATTTCTGTGCAAGCTCAATTGCATAACCTGATCTAAACCAAAGAAAAATGGGCAAGGAATGACCCTCCTCTTTTTGTATCTGCCAAACAGTCCATCAAAAAAGCAGCTAGTTCTGCTGGAGGACCACTTTGGGAAAGGAGAGTGAAGATGGGCCAAAGCCCCCAAGTAGCTGCTGCCACATCTCATTGCTTAAACTTCCTGGCCCCTTTCAACCTTCTTTGCTTCTGAGTTGGGAGTTGGAAGAAGAAGCATCAGCCTGTCCAAAAGGTGCATTTTTGCTTGGGGGCCAACAATTGTATCTAAGGAAATGGATTCTGGTCCACAGTAGCTCATAGCCAAATACGCTTGTCAGTATCTGAACTGCCATGAGGAAACTGTCTCTTTCTTTTGACTACAAACATATCTAATACAGTTATTTTCCCCCAAATGGCCACGTTACTTACATTAAGACCTTACACCAAAATATATGAATTCAGAGGCTGGTCTCTCAGCTGAACTATCCAGACTAGGTTCACCACTGCTTAGACCAGACTTGGAACCAATTACGCACACGCTACTTAATAACAACACTTAGCGTTTACACAGCACTTACAGAGTTCAACGCACATTAGCTTGTGACTAGTGAGATAGGCCAGCTTTACCGCCAAATTTCAACTGAAGACTACCCAGATCACTTTTAATTATCTTTGGTACTATGCTCTGCTACCTTTGAAGTGAGAAATTCTCAGGAATTTTTACAGCCATATGTGGCAGACTGATATTATTATTTGCCCATGTTGTAGCCAGGGGAAGGACAGCAAAAAAAAGAAAGCAGCTTGCCTAAATCGATCTTCTAAACAAGAAGAGAGCCGAACCCAGAGCTTACCAGCTCAGAGCTCACTATTTTACCTCCCCCAAAACCCTCTCTCATCTTAGCGACTTAATTGTGAGCTACACAGAACACTTCAGAAAGAAATCACAGCTACAGGCATCTTCTCCACAGAGAAACAATTGACCAATATCCCACCTCCTACAGACAAACCGACAGGGAGGGGGAGGGGCTCCCCGCTAAAACCCACAGAACCCGAAGGCCGGTTACGTCACAGATGGAGAGTGAAGATGCGCTGTGTGACATCACAGATCGCATCACGTGTGCGTGAGGGGGGATGGGCCGAGGGGCCTCCCGCGCCGGCTCCTCCCGCCTCCCGTTCCGACGGGCCCCGCCCGCACCTTGCCAGCCACCCGGCCGAGGCGTACGATACCCAGCTTGAAGTCGGTCATGGCCTTAGCCTGTCAGGGAAAAAGAGGAGAGAAAAAAAGGAGGAGAGGAGGGGGGAGGGGAAGGGAAGAGGGGAGTCGCAGACGGAGACGCCGCTGCCCCTGCCACGCGCCGCCGCCTCGCGCACGCCCGAGGAGGGAAGGGGGCGGGGCCGCACACACCACCGCCGCCGCCAACCCTTAGTCTCGCAAGCCAATCGCAGCGCGAGCCGCACTCTGGCGTCACTCATTCCTCGACCGTCTCGCGCGCTCTCTACCTCGCGCGCGCGCGCGCGCGCGATCAGAACTCGGCAGCGCCGCGATGACGCACTAAATACAAGATCACGTGAGGCCGGCGGATAAGTGACGTCACGACCCTGCGAGGGTTTTTTTTAATAGAGTGGAGGAAGACGGTCTCAATGCTCATCGCTTTCTGCTGGCTCGCCTCCAAGATTAATGGACACTGGCTTTTTGTAATAAACGCAAGATTTTTTACTAAAATCAAATAAATCGCCACACTCCTTTCTATATTCTATATGGTTGTAATATAAATATATATTCAAACAAATAAGCTCAGCATGCCGAAAAAATACAGCAATGCTCTGAATTGTTCCGTCCTTTGAAATGGTAACAAAAAGATTTGAAAGCCGGCTTCTGTATTCAATTACAGTTACTTAACTATTTCAAGTATTTACGTATTTATAACATTACATATTATACGTATTAGGTGTGGGTGTTGAAAATCACTTACCTCGGTGTGTGTATATACACGTATATACACGTATATATACGTATGTGTGTGTGTGTATATATAATTATGGCAAAAGCAGCCTCTACGTAACACCAAATATGTATATACATATATGTGTGTAACACACATATATGCATATACATATTTGGTGTTACGTAGAGGCTGCTTTTGCCATAATGATATGAAGGCCTAGAGAAGCGCCACTGTACAGCATCTAGAGCATCTTGGCAGTTTTCACCGGAAGTTGTCGGTTAAACCAGAAGGCGGGACGGCGAGTGACGTCACGGCCTTGCAGGTGCTGCCTTCAACCGCTATCTGGCTCAGTCCGCAAACGCCTGCGCGGGGAGGGGGCGCGCACAGAGGAGGGAGGCGTGTTGCGCTCAGCCTTAAAGGAGACCAGTCTCCTTTTTTAACAACGTAACCCTAAAGAGTCTCGATCCTTGTTTTGTGTCAATGTGGTTGTTCCTAATAAAAGGTATTACATGGATTTCGTTCCTGTGGGGGGGGGGGGGCCTGCGATGTGCAGGGCTTCCGCGTGTACTCGGGCCACTTTCCCTGTTCAGAAAGGATGGCTCCAGAGCAAACTAATTTATGCAGTAGCCAAATCGCTGCTCACAACTTTAATGCCAGTGGCTCACAAAGCAGAATTTTTCCTCACAAGACTCCATAGCAGAGGGAGCATTAGTTACACATAACCTGGGGCAAGTTCTCGCTTGGTGCAGGGGTTTCCTGTAATCATAATTTCTGAATTCCTTGTACAGAAAATATCACACACTCTTCCTCGGCACACTGGATCCAGGAGCCCTTGGTGTATCAGTTGGGAGGGTGTTTTATAGAGCAACAGATAAAAAGGCATGTTTGCCCTACCTGCACATGGCATGCAAGCTTACTCCTTTACAAACCCTGGACTTAAGAACAGTTTTGGCTATCAAGCTGGTCATTCTCCAAAGCTGTAGATCCCTGGGATGGATTCTGTGGACCCAGTCCACTAATAACTGGTGCTTTCCCTCAACCAGAGAAAAGTGCTGCAGATTGCAAAACAGCTCTGGAAGATCCAACCACCAGCTCCCCTCCATAGAGAAATTTGGAGAGAGAAGCTTGCCTAGACTGTGCTGTCAAAGGGAAGGGACTTTTAATAGGTGAGGTGCAGGGACTGCATTGAGCTGTATCTGGTCTAGATGTCTGAAAATGCCTGAACAGTCCAAAAGAAGACAGATCCCTGCCCGGAAGAGCTTCCAATCTAAATTGGAATGCTGGGAAGGAAGATGGAGGAAAAGATAAACTGCAGACTGTGTGAGGAGAAAGAACGCTGGCCTCAGCCACCAGTTAGAGGGCCTACTAGGGCTCCTGGAAGATTGCACCCTTTCAGGAAAACACCGAAAGACAAAGGAAGATTAACCAGTATTGCACCTTTAAGACAAACAAAGTTTTATTCAAGGTGTGCGCTTTCGTGTGCACGCACACTTTGTCAGACAATGAATAGAATTACAAATCATACTTGTATATATATAGGGTGGCTTGTTAAATTAGCATGCAAAATAGTGAAGTGTTTTTAACAGATAAAAAGAAACCAAGCTTGTCATTCTTGAATAAAACTTTGTTTGCCTTAAAGGTGCCACTGGACGCTAACTTTGTTCTATTGCTTCAGACCAACATGGCTGCCCACTTTGATCTATCTTTATGGTTGTAGCAGTTCAAATGTGGGGCTACACTTGATTTCAGATCCCTGTTCTGATGTGAAGCTTTCTGGGTAACCATGAACTGGTCACTCTCTCACCACCCAACCTACCTGGCAGTAAGGATGGAGAAGAATCATGTATGCCACCCTCCTTCTGCACTACCTCTGTATATTTTGTCTGTTTAGTTTCTAAGCCTTGGTGCTGCTGTCACGTCATTGATGTGAGCCATGTTGGCAGACAACTGTTATTTGAAAAGCAGGATATGTCATACTTAAATGAAATAAACCAGAGGGGAGAGAGAATGCACACTTCCAGTCCCATGTATGCAGGCTCAGAAGGCGACAGAGACCAAAATCTTAATGGAAAAGATGAGTTTTGGGGTGGGAAATTATAGTAAAGATGTCTTGCTCTTCTATGGTACCTCAAATCTGCTCCTCGGGGTGCCTATCTAATTCTCCCGCAGTTATGAGCTTGAGGTTCTACAGGGGGCCCCAAGTTTCCTGCCATGCTCTCCCTCCCTTTTGTTCCACCATCTTGGGAACCTGGGCACAATAAAGCAGAACAGAATCCAAAGTGGAACACAAGAACCCACTGATGTCACACAGCGTGTGACCACCATTCCAAATGGTCAGAGGCAAGGCATGAGTCAACATCGACGAGCCGCCTCAGGAGTGAAGAGCTGCAAGAATGGAGTTCCAGCAGATAAATACCAAGTTCATGGCACAGAAGTACCTGAACAACATGCAGCCAGTAAAACCAAAAAGTATACCTTTGCTGTACAAGAGGCATGCACAAAACCAACGGTAAAGCCGAAAGGGAAAGGCTAAGAAAAAGCACCTCATCCTTTAGCAGCCAGGATGTCCACTGGGAGCTTCATCAGGGTCTCCGTGCCCTGGGTGCCCCCCACGTTCACAGGCTAGATGCGTGAGCAGCCAAGATGAACCTTTCCTTGAGTGGCACGCATGCTCTGCAACTCCATCCCTATAGCAGCTATAAAGGTAAAGGTAAAGGTTCCCTTGCTCGAAAGCCAGTCGAATCCGACTCTAGGGTTGCGGTGCTCATCTCCATTTCAAAGCCGAAGAGCCAGCGCTGTCCGAATACATTTCCGTGGTCATGTGGCCGGCATGCCTAAACACCAAGGCGCACGGAACGCTGTTACCTTCCCACCGAAGTGGTACCTATTTATCTACTTGCAATTTCTTGCTTTTTAACTGCTAGGTTGGCAGGAGCTGGAACTAGAGATGGGAGCTCACTCCGTCATGCAGCACTCAGGTCTCGAACTGCTGAACTACTGACCTTCCACAGCCTGCAGTTCAGCGTCTTAACCACTTGAGCCACCGCAGCTCCTATAGCAGCTATACAAGCTTTGATATGTCAGGCAAAACATTTTTATTTTCTTAGGCCTTTAACATCCCCCTCCCATTTGGAATGTTATCAGTCAGATTGTCCCTGTTTCTATCCCACAGGTTGTTGTTTTTTTAAAGAGAATTCCTGGTGGTTATTTCTAGAATTGCGAGAAGCACTTCCTGTGTTGCTATTTTAAATAGATTTGTTGCATTTCTTTTGGATGCAGTTTTAAATCCTTTTATTATGTTGTTTTATTGGTTTGCTGGGTTCTTAAAAAAATCTTATTGTTTCTAAACTGCCTAGCAAATCTTTGTGTGGAGAGGTATGGTTTAAATATTTGAATTTGAAAAGGCAATACAAGGTTACAAGCTGAGCTGGAAAATCCAGATCCTTACATCATGAGATGACTACATCATCTGCCCCATGCTAAGGCCAGCACTAGCATCGAAAACTCTGTTGCAAAACAGTACTTTAACACTGTTAGTTAGCATCATAAGCTGATAATTTATTTGATTTTTTCTTTAAGGTCAGAAGCTTTTACCTGCTTGTAATGAACACCTTCCTTAAATCAATAATAACTTCCTCGATTTATTGTTTCCCTTTTTTGCTGAGTCTCAAGGCAGATTACAACTAAAAACAATGTCTCCTTACCCCTATCCCACTTTAAGCACTCTAATGTTGGGTAGGAACAAGTTAGTGGAGTTTGGCGTATCATCTGGGGAAGGGATGTGACCCAGAAGTAAAACATCTGATTTACTTGCAAAACGTCCCATGTTCAATCACCAGTAAAAGGATCAGATCATCACAGATAGAATCATAGAATCACATAATTGGAAGGGGCCATAAAGGCCATCTAGTCCAACCCCCTGCTCAATGCAGGGTCAGCCTAGAGCATCCCTGACCAAGTGTTTGTCCAGCTGCTGTTTAAAGACTGACAGTGAGGGTGAGCTCACCACCTCCCTAGACAGCTGATTCCACTGCTGCACAACTCTTACTGTAAAAGTTTTCCCTAATATCCAGCTGGTATCTTTCCACCCTCAATTTAAACCCATTATTGTGAGTCCTATCACAATAGGATTGTCGGCAGGAACAGCTCCCTGCCCTCCTCTCTGTGACAGCCCTACTTAAAGAGAGCAATCATGTCCCCTCTCAATCTCCTCTTCTCCAGACTGAACATTCCCAAATCCCTCAGCCTTTCCTCATACAGCTTGGTCTCCAGGCCCCCGACCATCCTCCTCGCTCTCCTGTGCACCCCCTCCATTCTGTCCACATCCTTTTTGAAGTGAGGCCCCCAGAACTGCACACAATATTCCAGGTGCAGCCTGACCGATGCAGTGTACAGCAGGACTATAATCAGTATTCCCTCTAAGATGAGTTAGTGTGAGCTAGCTCAGTTTTTTAGCCTCTGGCTCACATATTTTTTTCTTAGCTCAGGAAGGTTGGCTCCAGAGCAAACTAATTTATGCAGTAGCCAAATCACTTTCTCACAACTTTAATGCCAGAAGCTCACA